AAAAGAGTCTGCTTGTTTTAATTTAAACCTTCCGCACTATGAATTTAAACTTTAAATACATGAAGAAGAAAATGATTCTGTCATGTTTAATAGGTTGGGCTTAATATTAAATCAAAGATGGCATTTGAGTCTATATATTTTCATTTATGAACCTACAATATTCAGAAACAAATTTAATAAATTAATTTCATACCATACATTCACTAAATATATTTTGTTTCATATTAATATTTTTGTATTTTTATAGTCTTTTAAACTTGACCAATATCCAAAGGTTAACATTTGGAGCCATCATTTCAACAGCAATTTGTAAATGACATTTGAATAACACCTGAAGATTAAAATTAATAATTCTTTCAATATATTTCGTATATCACATCTAAATTACAGTTAATCTGCAAAACAAATCAGACAAAATGCAAAAGTCAACAAGGATATAACATCATTTCCCTTGAGAATTCTAGTACTTCAGAGTTTTATATTTTGTTTCTTTGTTACAAAACCAAACAAAATAGTTTGGGGCTAACAAATGGCTGGCAAATAAAGATGAAAACATCCTAAAAAGAAAACTCACGTTTTACAGTACAGTAAGCAAACAAAAATATGCCCAAGATTTTCATACCATTAACCATACTTCAAAGTAACAGCATTTGACTTAAAGTCAAATATTCTTGGGTTTCAGTCTTAGCTCTCACTTAATAGCTGTTGAACCTGAAAGCTGCATTTTTTTATATGTGTAAAATGGGGATGATAAAAATAATACCTACCTCATGAGGTTGTTGTGAGAACAAAATAATATATGGCAAGAATGTTTTTAGCACCTACTAGGCACTCAATAAATGTTCATTCCCTTCTCCTTTCCTCTGCACTTCTTGTAGGTAATTCAAAAAGAGGAGCATGAACTGTCAATTCATTACACTTTTGAGAACCCCAAAAGAAAAGTTAGAAGCTTCAATAAGCACTGCTACTTTATATATTAATATCATCCCCCTGGTAAGTCCAAAAAAGGGTTTTTTCTTAAAATACCACTTCTACATTAAAAAAAAAAAAGAAATCACAGACTAGGAAATGACCTAGCAAACAATCAGAGTATGATAATTAAGAGGTTATTTGTGTTTATCTGGTAGAATTACAACTAATCAGCCCTAGAAAAAATTGTTTACCCATAAGGGAAACAAGTAATTTCTATGGCTCAGGAAATATAGGATTAACAGGTAGTTCTCATTCCTCTATTTTCCTATTTTTCCATTTTACTCAGAAAAAGTGTCTAAATTATATCTCTACACCAATTTGGCACCATATATATTCACTTAGAGGCAGAGAAAACTAAATTAACTAGTATTTTTGGCCCTCTTGATCCCCCCTCTTAATAGAAATGTAATGAAAGAGAGAAATGGAGAAAA